CAGACCAGTAACCCTAAGGATAGCTCATACTGCCTAAAAGGAAGTTTTATTTCAGGAATGGATCACTGTGGGAGGCTTATGTGTATCTTGAAGCAGTGATAAACTCCAACATCCTCAGGCTCTACCTTGCTGATGTCAGTGTGAAATCTGTGCTTGACCCACTGCCAGTCAATGTGTCTGGGACACCAGAAAATCAGTTGGAAACTGTGTATATCAGGAGTTGTGGAGACTGGCCTGGCTTCTGCAGGTACCAATTCAGATAAGTGTCTCCATTGCTATGCAGGGGGCTCTGACTAGACCTGAAGGAGATGGAGGCCGGATCTCCCAGCGTGACAGGCAGGGAGACTGGATTCTGGGTCATCATAATATCTCCACTGGATCCTGAAATTAGAATAAGACAGAAGTGCAAGGTTATTCACAAGCATAGATATGTAGATATTATTTGAATTTTGATATATATTGCATGTTTTCATATTTCATATTGATTACTAATCTAAAAATAAAAAAGATTATAAATAGAGATATTTGTAAAATATAAAGAGGTCTCTAGGAGTCACTGATTGTATTTTCATCTAGCAGTCTTCCCCCAAGCACAGTTTTAGCTCTTTCTGGAATGTTCTTCACTCTCTCACACCTAACTATCACTTTCCCAACATGGATAACAGGATCTTCACAGATAGGGCACAACTGGACCCTTAGATCTCACCTTTTCACCCACTTTCATTCCTTATCTCCCTTTGCCCTTACCAGGGATCCACAGCATTAACAGCCCCAGGAGGTGATAGAAGGACTTCATTTTTAAGAGTTAAATGAGGAGTGTTGACAGGTCAAGCCAAGTTCAGATCTTAGAAAGGAAGGTCCTCCTCCTTCATTTATGCAGATCTCCAGGTGGGTGCAACAATGTGGGAGGAGCCAAGGGGAAGGTCAGGCCTGCTCTTCTGAGAAAAGTGATTCCAAATAAGCTCTGTGTTTGGGGACAACCAATAAAATCCTTGATTCCTACAGCACTGGGAAGAAAGACCCCACTGTGAAGGAAGATAGGGTGTACATGGCTCTGACACCCTAAAACATCATCAGAGACCAAAAGTATGCAGGTTCATGTCAAGGACAGTCTATAGGAAGGGAATGAGCACAATTCCCAGCTGGCCTTAAACTCATGCAGAAGGTCTAGAGAGAAACACTGCACTCACCAGCAGCAGCAAGGATCCTCAAGGGAGATGAATAGTTTAGCTATATAAAGTGTCATCTTATACCCATAGTTACTAAGTTATATGTTCAGGAATCTCAGCTACAAGTGTTAGAACTTCTGTTTCCAAAGGAAATTTAACATAAAGAATTGATAGGAAGAACAAAAATTTCTGCTACTAGTAGTGATCTAAATGCATTTATTTATAAGATTAAAGGACAATGCCCTCTTTCTGACAGAAGCATATAATTCCAGTATAAATACATGGATAGATAGATAGATAGATGTAGATGTATACACATGCATATATAGATGTATATATATCATATTTTCTTGATCCATTCATCTATTGGGGGCATCAGTGTTGGTTCCATATCTTAGCTAAGGTGAATAGTGCTGCAAGGAATACAGTTGTGCTGGTAACATTAATGTGGCCTTGTTTGTGGTCACTTGAGTAAATACCCAGAAGTGGGATTGCTGGATTGTTATGAGTTCTATGTTTAATCTTTTGAGAAACCTCCATACTGCTTTCCATAGTGGTTGAATCATGTTATGTTCCCACCATCAGAGTAGTATCTGGCCTCATCCCTGCCAACATCTATTATTATCTGTTTTCTTAATAATGGCGCTTGTAACTGGGGTGAGGTGGAATCTCAATGTGGTTGTGAATTGCATCTCTCTTATGACCAGAGATTTTGAACATTTCTTCAGGTGTCTATTGGCCATCCTTATTTGCTCTCCAGAATAGACTCTTAATTCTTTAGCCCAATGATTAATGGGCTGGTTATTTCTTTGAGGATTTTTTTTGGAGGAGTGTTTATTGAGCTTTAGGTATATTTTTGATATGATGCCTTGTCTGTTGTATAGCTAGTGAATATCTTCTCCCAATCTGTGAGATTTCTATTTATTTTGCTGGCTATGGCATTTGCCATGCAGAAGCTCTGCAGCTTAATATGCTACCATTTATCCATCCATTCGATTTGTTGTGTTTCTGGATCTTTATTTAGAAAGTTTTCACCTGGATAAAGGAGCCCTAGAAATCCCTTTGCAAGAAAATGTAAAGACTTAGAATAAACCATATTAAGTGAAGTAAGCAGATCCAAAGAAACATAGGCTTCATAATTTCCTTCATTTGTAATAATTAGTAGAGGTCTAGTATAGTCCATGCAGAGGATCACAATAGATAATAGCTATGCACATACCACCATATAAAATGATGCTAATCCAAATGAACTCCTAGATATAGAAACAAGATGTCTTTTTTGTTGTCTTTGATGCAGTCTGTATACTGTATCAAGTTCCTTCTTTTTATTATATATATATATATTTTTTTTTTTAATTACGCTTTGGCTTATCCCCTGTAGTCACTGTTTATATTCGGGAACCATGCATCTTTTATACACATTTCTATGACTTGAGAACAGAAGGAGAATAACAAAATGGTGAAACAAGGACACAGGGTGACCAGTGCAACAGTGATACTCACAGGACTCTATGTTGGAAATGAACTTTATAACTTCGGGCTGGGTGGCTTGGGTGGAGGGATAGTAGGAGATGAAAGAATGGGTAACAATATTTGACAAGAAATGTTCTCATTACCCTGCTTATGTAACTGTAACCTTTCTGTACAGTACCTTTACAACAGAATAAAATTAAAAAGGATAAAAGAAAAATGTTATAAAGTTTTACTTCAAAGTGTGATTATATATTCAATGTAATGAGTTTTAAAATCCATTATCTGTCCTGTTAATCTTCCACACTGTATTTGCACAACAAATTGCTCACAGAATTTCTTAAATCTTTCCTCTACAGAGTAAAGGGTGAAAGTGATCAAGATATATTCCACTTCTATACCGTTGTTTTTTAACCCTTTTTTAAACTATGTAAAGACAAATGTAGGTATATAATTCTGGTTATCTTAAATTAACGTAAAATCTTTTAATGTCTCCATTTCCAATCTGAATTAATCAGTCTCTGCTTATTTGTCACAGAGAGTTCAGTCCCTACTTCTTGTCTCCAAGGATTCTGCTCTGTCATGCGGCAGAATATCACATGTTAAGGAGGAACAGGTGGAGAAGGAAGTTGGTGCTGATGCTCCAGAAGACCCCACATGGTCATCTGAAGGGCCTCCTTGTAGGAAGTGATTAGATCATTGGAGGTCCTGGTCTCAGAAGGGCTATATGTCCTCTCATGGAGTGAGTCAGTTTTCACAGAAGTTGCTTGTTATAAACCATATATTTGGACTCTTCTAACTGCAGCTTGTTTTTATTTTTATTTATTTATTTTGTTTGGTCGTGGGGCATGAACTCTGGGCCTGGGCACTGTCCCTTATCTCTTCAGCTCACTTGAACTACAGTGCCACTTCCAGTTTTCATGTGGTTTATTGGAGGTAAGACTCTTAAGGTCTTGCCTGCCTTGGCTGGTTTGGAACCTCGATCCTCAGATCTCAGCTTCCTGAGTAGCTAGGATTACAGGCATGAGCCACCAGCGACCAGCTACTACTTGTTCTCTTCACATTAATACAGCATATTAGTTGACAAACAGAACAGGCCTCCCCTGAGTACAAGCAGATGAGACTATTTCATCTAGAATTTTCTATATGTAAAACTGAGTTAAAAACTGGAAGTGGAATTGTAGCTCAAGTGTTAGAGTGCTCACCTTGAGCTGAAGAGCTGAGGGACAGCACCCAGGACCAGAGTTTAAGCCCCAGGACCAACCAAAAACAAAACAAAACAAAAAAACTGCTTCTTGAGTAGAGCAACCAACAAAAGCCTGCAAGGGGAGAGCTTTGTGGGCTGTAGGCTCAGCTGAGTGGGGTCTCAGAAGTTATGCTCTACTCTGTATTCTGAGAGCCCTTGGCAGCTGAATAAAATATGTTACAAATCAGACCATGGCAGTTACAGGGATTGTGTAAACTTACTATTTTATGTATGGCTTCTGGGTGTTTTATATACATACATATATATGTGTGTGTGTGTTTGTGTGTGTGTGTGTGTGTGTGTATGCATTTATACACATATAACACATGTATATCTGTATATATAGATATAGATATAGATATAATAACAATGGATGTGTCACTCAATGAACTAGAAATTTTCCATTTTAATAAAAAAATCTGCTTTAGGTTTCAATACTTAATGATGATTTTTTTATAATCTAAAAACAAAATCTTTTCTAATGCTCTATTGCCTTGCTTTTAAAACCTGGTTTGATATTCCTAAAATGGCTCTTTCTTTTTGTGGCTGCAAATTGTTAGCACAATGTAAGTGAAACATGAGTATAGATTACTGATTTTTAAAGTCAGAAGAGGCATTGTAAGGTGTGTGCTGCTTGGGATGAGCAGGCGGACAGAGAGTTAGGGTGTGCAAATGCCTCCATGACCTCTCTCTCTCCAGTGACCTTAAAGTTTGGCTGCATCTGAGAAGTTGTGTAGAGTAGAGGCAGTTGTGCAGGTAGAAGAGAAGCTGGGGCAGCCCAGCCTCTCACTTCTGCTTCTCTGGGAGGTTTTATTTATGACTTGTGTCACTGTGGGAGATAAACTATCACTCTGTTGACAGAAATATGTTGCCACATCTTCAGGCTGCATGCTGCTGATGGCGAAAGTGAACTCTGTCCCAGATCCACTGCCACTGAACCTTGGTGGGAACCCAGATTGCAAAGTAGTTGCATAACTGATCAGAAGCTTTGGAGCTTTCCCTGCTCTCTGCTGGTACCAATGTAAACTCTTGCTAATGCCCTCACTGGCTCGGCAAGTGATGGTGACTCTGTCTCCCAGAGGTGATGACAGGGAAGGTGGCTGGGTCAACTGGATGTCACATCTGGCACCTGACATTGGAAACATAAAAGCCATTAGCAGTTTAATTAATTTTGCTGTCCAAGTACTTCCATGAACAGCCAGGTAGCTCCACTGAACACTGAGTGAATAATCCCCAGTATCATCTTTCCTTACCTGCAACCCAGAGCAGCAGGAGCCCCAGGAGCTGAGCAAGGGCCCTCATGTCCATGCTGTGTGCTGACTGGAACTTCTCCTGCACAGAGTGTGAGCAGCCGATGAAGAAGTTCCCAGTGTAGTGGGCTGTGTTCTGGGCACATGCAAATCAACATGGCTTGGGCAGTGCGAGTCAGAGCTTCAGCTGGCAGATCTCAGTGACAAAGCACACAACTGAAGAACCCAGATGTCCAATGTGCTTGTAGATAATGTGTTTCTAGAGATAAGAAAACATTATGATTCTGTTGGCCTGTGATTAAAATAGATTTTTTTTCCCAGAGCTGAGGACTGAACCAAGGGCCTTGCACTTTCCAGGTAAGCACTCTTCCACTGAGCTCAATTCCCAACCCCAAATAGAATTTTTTAACATTTTCAACTTATCCATGACTTGGTATGATTTTCTTCATTTAAATCAGACACTCAAAGACAAACATTTCAAAGGGAAATTAATTTTAGGATGTCCCTAACTCTGGTATCAGTGGAGTTTGTGATACAGAATTAAGAGTATTCAGGTTGTTTGCCTGAACCTTGTTATATGGTTTAATAATAAACATTAATACACAGACATGTGTTATAAAAGTGATAATTCATATGTAGGTAGAAAGACAGATAGATGCATTGATAGAAAGAGGGAAATGAACAGTTTTCAAAGTTTTTAATGGAAGGTAGCACTGAAATATGTGCAATAAAGTATCTTGATCATAGATATATGGACACTCCGTTGGTGCATTCACTGGTGTCCTGTGAACTCATATAAATGACTGGATTGCTTCCCTTCTGAATGTTCTTCCCTATCGCCTCCCTCTAGAACAGTTCACCTCAGGTATTTCTTCTTTAGTTTTAGGAAAATACCTGGAATCATATCTAGCTTTGTGGGTATTATGCATGTTTGGGACAGATATTTCTGAACTTTTAGAGGACATTTGTTTCATCTGTTAATGGAAACTCTTCTTTCTCAGAAGCTGAGTTGTTCTGTAGACCGAGGACTCAACTCTACTTTAACTTCATTTTGCTCCTTAAGCTGCATAGTCCTAGAAGTTACATGTCTTTTAGGTCCTAAGTCAGGCAGTTTTTTTGTGTACGAGGCATGGTGCTTGACTTAGTCCCTGAGCTTTTATGCTCAATGGTGGTAGTGTGCCAAATGAGTCACAGCTTCACTTCCAACCTTTTGGTGTTTAACTGGTGACAGAGACTCATTGTCTTTATGTCCAAGGTGACCTCCAACCCTAATCGTCAGATCTCAGCTTCCTCTGTAGCTAGTATTATATGCATGACCACCAATAAAGCAGTTTTCACAAGTTGTATTTAGGAGATGTGATTCATATAGGTACAGAAATGGTAAATTGCAATGAGGTTAAGGGTGGGGTTGAGAAACTGGAGCCACCCAGTTACCAAAGAACATCTTCAACCTGAGGAATCACAGAAAGTGAAGCCAAAGTGAAGTGAAGAAGGCCTCCACATAGAGATTAGCATGTGGACATACTTCATCCCATTGTGTAGATTTGACAATCTAAACAATCATACCGGTGTTAGATGAACAGGGTGATCACATGGTATTTACCACTGGCAGGCCATGAAGATGATATGTAAAGATAACACTGCTCTTTCAGAACCAATGGCACAGGAGTAACTCATTACCTAATCAGTGTTTTCTTCAGTACCATTTACTACCAGAACTCCATCTGAGTCTTGATTTGATGACCTACATCTTTTAAAATATTAATGTTCTCTGCACCACATGCTCACATAGTTCTTCTACAATGCTCTTTTCCACCAATTTTGATGATGATTTATAAGCTTCCCTAAAAGATATGCCAACCTCCTTCACTGTTCTGAAAAATCACTTCTAATCTTATCACATGGTCCCATGAATAACTCCTACTGCCCTTGCTGTGAGGATCTGGTGTCTCTTACATGCACTGCAGGACAAAGCTGGTACTAAAGAAAACCAGAAGAACACAGCTGGCTGCCATAGTTGTGAAGGCCATCTGGTAAATACAAGGAGCCATAATAATAGGATGAGGAAGACTGACCCAAAATGTATCTATTTGAGTGTGGTTAAAATCAGCCAGGCTCTGGGAATAACACATTACATTCTCCAGATCCACACTCCAGGGCTGCCTTCAGTATGTGTGGACATGTGGCATGGGACTTGTGAATTTCAAATCTGCACAGACTTCAGGTACTGAAATACATGGAAGACTTGGAATACTAGGCTCATATCAGAGCTGCTGGTAGGCTTTCACTGCCCTGAGGTGTGAGGAATGTAGCCACCTGGCTGAGAGATGAGGCTGAAAACCAAGGAAAGAGATGAAGAACAAGGAAGACATAAGAAAACATTTCTGAGGATCTTCCTGGAAGAAGAAAGAGCATACAGGAAAGAAAGGTGTTAATGGTCTGGGCCATGGACCTGAATGAGGTCTGGGTCTAAAGATAAAGTCTGTTCCTCTCAGAATAGAGAGTAGTACTTCACAAATGAATATAGAATTTATATATCTATTGTTCATATGTAGTAAGTTACCTATAAAACTAAAACATTAATTAATATAATTCTAATTGTCTAACTCAGCATTTTAAATGCTGACACTGAAAAATAATGCTAGGAACAATGAGCAGTTATATTTCTAGCCTGACATCATGAAGCTCAGGACACCATCTGTGCCTTTAAGGACAATCAGTGGCCTGATCACTGCAGAGGACTCTTGGGAACTGCTGGGGAAAGCGCTGACACTGCAGCCCCCTCTCACCTCCCACAGCTGGACAGGTTGTGTGCACATGTTCCCTTCAGGGCTGCATATCTGCAGGGTCCACCCTCCTCCCCTCACCTTTCTGACTTGCCCGTAATGACTTCACTACAAGAAACCCTGTGCATCATCCTTGTCAGGTTTGATTACAGTTTACAAAGTGGACATGAGGAGACACAATCCCCTCTGTAAACACGGTCCCACCTGCCATGCGTGCCATGAAAGCCTGAGATGAACTCCCTGGATTCAAGCTCCTATGGACAAGGTTAGGTTTCAGGTTTTACTTTGTGAGATTTGTTTGCCATTTAGTGGCCTTTTTATGACATAGCAGTGGACAAGATTTTCATTAGGATTTTTACCGTTCTTTGTTAATAGTTGTGCAGATTCCCAAGAGTTTTATATGTATAATCATGGTATTTTACTTATTTTATTGTTGGATAAATTGTAATTGTCATATATTAACAACACGTGGTTAGTTTGTGATGAGAATCCCTACCTGAATGCAGCTTATTTTGAAAAACTCACCACCTCCTTTCTATTGCTATACTCTTCCTCTCCTACTCCCACCATTTTTCATAATGTGTAAAGGAACTTCATAACTCAAATGCACATGTGAGTATATATATATACATGTATATCTATTTATTTATATACCAATGCATCTTCTACACTTAGTTTGCTTTTGTCCCTTTCTTTCACCCTTACCTGTCTCCCTTCAGATATTTTCCATTTTGGCATTCATGTTTTATCATTATTATTATTATCAATGCCATCATCACCATCACCACCATCATCGCTACTATCATTTAAGTCTGGGTTCCACAAGTAAGTAGGACCAAACACTATTTTGCTTTTGCATCCTGACCTATGTCACTCAATATGATCATCTAGTTCTTTTCATTTCCTTGCAATTTACATGATTTCATTGTTCATCTCCCTCTGTCCTTACTAGTGAGCCAGAGCATTAGCAGCCCAGGAGCTTACTAAAACAATTCTCTTTTAAGAGTCCTGGTAGGACAAGACAAGGACAAGCTGAGCCTTCGTCTCAGACTCAAAAGGGAAAGTCCTCCTTAGGGAGCACTATGCAAATTAGCAGGTGGGTGCAGCAGTGTAAAGGGAGCACAAGGCGGGCAAAGGTCTCTTGTGTAACAAACTGCAAATTATATCCACCTGGATACCATATTTAAGAGGCTCAGAAGGACAGATCTGTGTTTTTTATAAGACACCAAAAGCATTATCTGATTGGTTCTCCTGGGGCTGATGAGAGGGTTGTCAGTGAGCCCCTCTACCAAATCCCCCAGTGACCTTTAGAGCCTGGCTGTGGCTGAGATGCACTGTCAGCAGGCAGAGGCACCGGAAGTAGTAGCTGGGTCAGTCCAGACTCTCAAATTTGCTCCCTCCACCCCCCAAGTAAGTTTATATTTGGTCTTGCATCACCGTGGGTGTTGAACTATTTGTTACTCAGTAGTAAGTTGCAATGTCTTCAGAATGCAGGCTGCTGATAGTGAAAGTAGACTCTCTTCCCCATACATTGCCACTAAATCTGGATGACACCGCAGACTATAAATTGGATGACTAATAAATCAAGAGTTTAGGAGCATCGCCTTGTTTCTGGTGATGCCACTGTGAATCATCACTAATCCCTGATTGGATCTGCAAGTGATCGAGACTATCTCCTACAGATGCACACAGAGAGGATGGACACTGGGAAATGGGGATGTCATATCTGGCCCCTATTATTGAAAACATAAACCAAATATCCACGGAATCAATTATGTTCTGGGAGTTCTCTGTTAACCCTGGGCTCAATAAATTCTTAGTCTTGGCCTTCCTTATCTTTGGGTCAAAGCAGCAGGATCCCCTGAGCTGAACAGGGGCCCTCACTCATCCTGTGTGCTGACTGGGACTGACTGATGTACAGGGTGTGAGCAGACCATGAAGAAGGGTTCAGGCAGTTGCTTGTGTGGGAGCACATGCAAATCCTCAGGAGCTGGACACAGCTGCAGGACCTGGGCACAATCCCTGAGCTTTCTTGCTTGAGGCCCATGATCTAGGCATTCTAATACTCGGTTCAAGAGAACTGAAGAGAGTGGACATCATTGTCTCATTCCTGAATTTAGAGAAAATGGACTTGGTATGACCTAAATGGCCATTTAGTATAATGCTGGAAGTAGGTTTGTCATATATAGCCTTTATTGTATTGAGGGATGTTCCATAGATTACTAGTTTTTCCAGAGCTTTCATCATAAAGGGGTGTTGGATCTTGCCAAATTCTTTCTCTGCATCTATTGAGATAATTGTGTGGTTCTTATCCTTGCTATTGTTTAATTTTATTAATTGATTTGCATATATTGAACAAGCTTTGCATCCCTAAAATGAATCCTGTTTGATCAAGGTATATGATTTTTTGATGAGTTGTTGAAGTCAATTGGTGAAGATTTTGTTGAGAAGTTTTGTGACCATATTCGTCAAAGAAATGGGTCTATCGTTCTCTTTCTTTGATGAGTCACTGCCTGGTTTTGGATGCGGGTTATGCTGGCTTCATAAAAAGAGTGTGATAGTGAATTTTTGCTTTCAATTTCATTGAAGAGAATGTTGAGATTCCACATCACCCCAGTTAGAATAGCTATAATCAAGAAATCTAGTAACAACAAATGCTGGAGGGGACGTGGACAGAAGGGAACCCTACTGTTGGTAGGGGTGTAAACATGTTCAACCACTTTGGAAAGCAGTATGGAGGTTCCTCGAAAGACTCCACATAGAGCTCCCCTATGAACCAGCAATGCCGCTTTTGAACATTTACCTAAACAATCACAAACAAGGTCATACCAAAGCTACCAGCACAACCATGTTTATCACAGCATTATTTACCATAGTTAGGATATGGAACCAATCCCTATGCCCCTCAATAAATGAATGAATCAAGAAAATGTGGTACATGTATACAATAAAATTCTATGCCTCCATGAGAAAGAATGACATTGCCCCATTTGTGAGGAAATTGAAAGGCTCGAAAAAATTATATTAAGTGAAGTAATCCAGGCACAAACAAATATATGTCCCATGGCATGTGGAGGGCTTAAGTGGTAAAGGAAAACCTATCACTATTCATGCATGACATGGTGCAGATGGGGAGAACCATTGGTTCCCGCTGCGATAGTTGTTTTTTTTTTTAATTGTGAAAATATCATACAGAGGAATTACAATTACATGATCAAGGTAATGAGTACATTTCTTATCAAGCATTGTTGCCTCCTGCGTTGTTTCCCTTAACATCTCTTCCCATCTCATTCACCACCACCATCGCCACCCCTCACCCCACCCTGTGCCAAAGTTATAAAGTTTGTTTTATGACATAATATCTTGTACATCTCATTTTTGTAGTGGGTCCACCGGTATCCCTATTTAAACAACTTGTTTTGTCCCTTCCCCTCCACAAAATATACCAACATCAAATACAGGGAACACAGGGGTTATACCATGGGGGAGGGACATATAAAGCAATGAAGAAATTTCTCATAAATATGTTAGAAACAATAGCAAGAAAGAAAAAACATTTGAGTCCTTACCTTGGGGTTCATTTTGCCTAACATCAACTTATCTGACCATTTCTGCTTTTCTCAGACATATACTAGTTATTGCAAATATAGGAAACCATGGTAATATATTAATATATATATTAATATACATTTTTCCAAGTCTTTCCATTTCCTAAAAAATAAGGCAATGTCATTCTTTGTGATGGAAGCATAGAATTCCATTGTGTATATATACCACATTTTCTTGATCCATTCATCTACTGAGAGGCATCTGGGTTGGTTCCATATTTTAGCTATGGTTAATAGTGCTGCAATAAACATAGTCGAGCTGGTAGCTTTAGGATGGTGTAGTTTGTGATCATTTGGGCAAATGTCCAAAAGTGGGACTGCTGGTTCATAGGATAGCTCTATGTGCAGTCTTTTGAGGAACCTCCATACTAGTTTCCAAAGTGGTTGAACAAGTTTACACTTCCAACAACAGTGCAGTAGGGTTCCATTTTGTCCACATCCCCTAAAGCATCTCTTGTTATTAGAGTTTTTGGTGATAGCCTTTCTAACTGGGTGAGGGGAATTTCAATGTTGTTTTCATTTGCATTTCTTTTATGTCTATTGGCCATTGAGTCCCGATGACTTCCAAGGATACTAGTGTTGACTTCCTGAAGCCAGTGTGCTGGGAAAGTATTATACTTAGAAGGAAAGGAGCCGTTACTCTCTGTGTGAATTCATCACTGTTCTTAGTTACAGATGTCAAGTGCACTCAGTGCCAATGGACTGATCATGGGAAGTGGATTGGTTCATAAACTATTGAGAAGTTTAAGGCAAAGGGTCTAGAAACTCAATTTTAAGAGTGGAGTTGTACATGGAGCCTGTAGACGGAAACCTTGCTCTATACTCACTTGCCTCCTGCAGAGAAGAGCTGCCACTCCCTTCCTGCTCCAAGAATATGGCAACCAGATACCAGTGTTCTGAACCCACCTCCTGGCCTGCAGCTCTCCTGCCTTATTCACACCCACATTTCATCCTTCTGGGGCTAAATAGATGAGTTGGGTATGTTATTCTACACCCCCTGCTTAGAAACTTATTTTCTCGGGCTGGGAAGTTGGCTCAGTGGTAGAGCACTTTCCTTGCATGCCTGAGGTCCTGGGTTCGATTCCTCAGCACCACATAAGCAAAAAAAGAAAAAAGCCAGAAATGGCACTCTGGCTCAAGTGGTAGAGTACTAGCCTTGAGCTGAAGAGCTGAGGGACAGCACTCAGGCCCAAAGTTCAGGCCCCACAAGTTACCTCCCCCACCAAAAAAAAGAAAGAAAGAAGCGTATTTTCCCACACTTATACAACCTCTTAAAAAAATCTACCTCACCATATTGTTATCTAACAAATTGCCAAAGTTTCCACTACAATAATAGCCATCCTTCTCAACCCAGAGATGGTGATGCCAAAGGTTCTCAATACAGCATCCATCTTATATCATTGGTCAAAGTTAGAACATTTTATA